TCAGGATCTGGCAGGCAGTGCTCCGAAACGGGGGGAAGTGAACTACAGATAGAGAGCCCCCCCAGACACGCCCTGAAATGCAGAAAACACCCATCCTGGACTTGGGTCCAGGGCGAATGAGACAAGGGAGCATGAGCTCTGGGGGTGCTGGGGTGGGCCCCCCGGGGGATGACCCCTCGCGGGGCAGAGCAGGGAGGAAGCAAGGTTGCACAGATGCCAGGGCAGACGCTCCCCAGACGGAGGGGGTGCAGTGAGAGGACGGGGGTTCCGGGGCAGAGGAGGAGCCAACCAGACTACACAGAGGCTAGGTCAACCACCAGAGGCCTTGCTCTCCATACCAAGGATCTGGGGCTTTAACCACATGGCAGAGGGGGAGCAGCTGACAGAGAAATAACCGGATGGCAATTGCAAACCGTTTCAGCAGCCAAGAAGCCGGACAGGAGGATGAGAAAATCGCTTATGTCCACGCAAAGCTCACCATCATATGCAGCACCCACGACAACCAAACACCGCCAGCGGGAGGCGGGACGGCCCCAGGTGGTCCACAGGGCGGGACACAGTGCGGTCGCAGGAGTGACCCACGGAGGCTCACAGGCCACGGGCGAGCCAAGGACGCATGGCCCTCGAGAGCAGCAGTCGCAAACACACACGCTGCCCAGCTGTAGCGCCGCGACCCACGCGCAGGCACCCATGGGGCCCACGTCAAATGGGGAGCGGCTACTGATGGGCTCGAGGCCTCCTTTCAGACAGATGAAGACACTATAAAGCCGGCTGTGGTGATGGCTGCATACCTCTGAACACACTAAAATGTACAATTTTCAGTGGGTGATGTTTATCTTATGTGAAGTATAGCTCAATAAAAAACAATATAAAGAAAAAAATATAAGGGGCTGGGCAACAAGGACTTATGCTCAAGACCTCAGCTCGAGATCACACTGGGAGCTACGGCACTGGTGTTCCTGGGGACCAGCCCACCGTCAGGGTGCAGGACTGGCTTCTCTCACTTGGCAAAATGTTTCCAAGATTCATCCATGTTGTATCATGTAGCAAATCTTCCAAGCCATCAAAAGAAGGATCTTTCCATTTACTTAGATTTCAATTTGCTTCACAGTGTTCTGCAGTTTCCAGCAAACAAACATTGTGCCCCCTTGGTTAAATTTATTTATAAGTATCTTATTGTTTTTTAAAAATTTTTACTTTATACATGTTGTGTTAATTTCAGGAGTACAGCAAAGTGATTCAACTGTACATACACAGGTGTATATTCTTTCTCAAATTCCTCCCATTTAGATGACTGGAGTGGTGAGCAGGGTCCTCTGTGCGAAGGAGGTCTCTGTCGTCCATCTGGAGCAGACACTGCAGTGTGCACCGCTCCAAACTCTGCTCCACCCCCCCCCCCCGCCCCCGCCGGTAACCACTGGTTCCTTCTCCAAGTCTGTGACTCCATTTCTGGTTTGTAATAAGTTCACTTGTGTGATTTTTTTTAGATTCTACATGTAAGTGATACCATATTTGTCTTTTTCTGACTTACTAAGTATGATAATCTCCAGGTCCATCTAAGTTGCCGCAAATGGCATTATTTCATTCGTTTTAATGGCTGAGTAACATTCCGTCATACACACATACCACACTTCTTCGCCCACTTGTCTGTTGATGGACATCTAGGGTGCCTCCATGTCTCGGCAATTATACACAGCACTGCAGTGAATACTGAGGTATATGTGTCCTTCTGAACCATGTTTTTCTTCAGAGGCATGTGGGATCTTAGTTCCCTGGCCAGGGATCAAACCTATGTCCCCTGCAGTGGGAGTGCAGAGTCTTAGCCACTGGGCCACCAAGGAAGCTCCCCAGATACATCCTTCTTTATGACGCTGCTATAAACGGAAATTCTGAAGTTCATTTTCAGTTTTCATTGCTAGTATAGAGAAATGCAGATAATTTTTATAGGACTACAAGGAGGTCAAACCAGTCATTCCTAAAGAAAATCAGTCCTGATCGTTCACTGGAAGGACTGATGCTGAAGCTGAAACTCCAATACTTTGGCCACTTGATGCGAAGAACTGACTTATCTGAAAAGACCCTGATGCTCGGAAAGACTGAAGGCAGGAGGAGAAGGGGACGACAAAGGATGAGATGGTTGGATGGCATCACTGATTCAATGGACATGAGTTTTCGTAAACTCCGGGAGTTGGTGATGGACAGGGAGGCCTGGCGTGCTGCAGTCCATGGGGTCGCAAAGAGTCGGACAGGGCTGAGCGACTGAAGTAAAGTGTATCCTGTAACTGCTGGATTTGTTCACTAGCTCCACCAGTTCTTATGTGACTTCCTAGAGGTTTGCTAGGCAGCATTCAAGTTGTCTGCGCACAGACAGTCTTACCTTTTCCTTTCCAATGCATTTCCTCCCTTTCTCGCACCCTGCTGCCCCAGAGGGAACGTGCAGTAAACGTCGAGTAGAGACGGTGAGGGGCTGTCCTTCCTGCTCGTGCTCACCAGTGACTGTGATGGCAGCCCTGGGTTTCCATAGACGCCCTGGGGCAGCTGGAGACAGCACCCTTCTAGTACTGGTTTGGTGAGTGTTTTCATGATGAATGGGTTTTGCATTTTGTCGAGTACTTTTTCTGCACCCACTGAGATGATTCTGTGGCTTTTCCCTTTTATTCCACGACATGGTGGGTTACTTTTAATTTTCATTGCACCCACTGAGATGATTCTGTGGCTTTCCCCTTTTATTCCACGACATGGTGGGCTACTTTTAATTTTCATATGCTGACCCAACTTTGCATCCCTGGGACGGATCACACTCAGTCTCAGCGCACAAGCCCTGTTATTTGCTGCTGGGTTCTGTCCGTATTCTACTGAGGACTTCTGCATAAGAAACACTGGTCTGTAGTTTTCTTTACTTGTGATGTCTTTTTCTGGCTTTGTTAATCAGGGTGATACTGGCCTCACAGAATGAACAAGGACATGTTCTCCATTCCATTTTTGGAAGAGTCTGAGAAAGTCGGCTGTTAATTCTTTGTAAAGGTTTGGTAAAATTTACCAAGGAAGCCATCTGGCCCTGGGCTTTTCTTTGTTGAAACTGCTTTGACAACCGACTCTGTCTCTCCAGTTGCGATGGGCCTGTCCAGACTGCCTTTCTTCCTGAGCCGGTCTTCAGGCTGCGCAGCCGCAAGGAGTCACAGCCGTCAAGGCCCAGGGGCCCGCTGGTGCGCCGCTCCCAGTGTCCCCCCAGTCCCCCTCAGGTCTGCAAGGCCATTCAGCAACGTCCTCGCTGCCACTCCGGAGTCTAGGACTCTCTGCCTCCTCGTTTTCTTCTTTGTCAATCCGGGCAAAGGCCTGCACACGTGCTGATCTCGTCAAAGAACCAACTGCTGGTGTCAATTATCTACTCTGCTGATTCTGTTTCTGTTATTTCTGCTCTAATCTTTATCGTCTCCTTCCTCTGACTGCTTTAGGCTGAGCTTGTTCTTTTCTACTTTCTTCAGGTAGAAGGTTAGATCAGTGACTGGAGATTTTCTTCTTTCTAAAGGGAGGTGTTCACAGCTAGAAATCCCCTAAGAGCTCCTTTTCACCATCTCCCACAGTTTTGTTATGTCATGTTCTGAACATTTCTTCCACTATTAATTTCTAACTTCACTCAACTGTGATCAGAAAAGACACTTTGTATAATCTCAATCTTGTAAAATTTACTGACGTTTGTTTTATTACTCAACACACAGCCCATCCTGAATGCTCCATGGGTACCTGACAAGAATGTACTTTGCTATTGATGGATAGTGTGTAAGAGATGTCTCACAGGCCTGATTAGCATACAGTTTATGAATATTGTATATGGTTTGGGTCTCGTGTCCTTGGCTAGGTTTTTCTATCAGGCCGTATCCCAATCATTTACTGCTCTGCTTATTCTGCTAAATGATGGTTTTATAAGTGCACAGTTCAGTGGCATTAAGTGCACTCACTCATACTATTGTACAACCATCACCACCAGCATGCATTTCCAGAACTTTCTTCAAGCACGGTGGCAACTCTGTGCTCTTTAAACAATGACCGCCCGTGACACCAAGCCCCTGGCAACTACCATTCTACTTTCACTCACCATGAATCTATTTTAGGGACTTCACGTAAGTGGAATCATAGAAGGTTTGTACTTCTGAGTGTTGGTCGTTTCATTCAGCATCATGTCTCGGAAGACACCTCAACGTCCATTGACAGATGAATGGATACAGATGTAGTGTATGAAGATTATGATGGACTACTACTCAGCCATAAAAAGAATGAAATAATGCTATTTGCAGCGATGTGGACGGACACAGAGATTATCACATTAAGTGAAGAAAGCCAGAGAAAAACAATATATGCTATCACTTATGGGTGGAATCTAAAAAAATTATACAAATGAACTTCTTTACAAAACAGAAACAGACTAAGAGACGTAGAAAACACACTCATGGTTCCCAGACAGGACAGCGGTGGAGGGGGATGAATCAGGAGTGGGGGATTAGCAGATACGAACCACTGCATATAAACCAGACAGACAACAAGGTCTGCTGCACAGCCAGGGGAGCCACGCTCAGCGGCTTTTAGCGGCCTGTACTGGAGAAGAGCCGTACGAATCACTGCGTCGTTCTTCTGTCCCCCTGAGCCTAACCCCCAGAAGGGCAGGCGGCAGAACAGCCTGGCTGCGAGGTGACATGGGCACAGACCGTGCAGCGAAGGGGACGCTGAGGGGACAACTCGGTGGAGCGGAGACTTTAAACCTGATGAGCAACATCTTAATTTAAAGGAAAATATGTTTTCACTCTTAGTCCAGGTGAGGCCTCCACAAAGCGCTCATCCAGGAGGGACTTGGGTGAGAACTGCTGCCGCAGCTGAACAGTGATAGCGTGGTGGTCCGCTGCTCTGGAAGAGAAAGCACTGTTTCTCCCGGGACCCCGCCACGTCCGGGCTTGCGCTGCTCAGCTGCCAGCAGCAGCTGCCCTGGACGGAAGGACCACGGTTACCTGATAGCCCTCGGTTTTCTTCTGACACCACTTCAGCAAGGCGTTCCTCTTGGAGCCCCCATATTCTCTTGCCAAGGCCGAGAGAGGATCCTTCCTTTCTTCCCTGGGAAGTGGAGAGAAGAAACATTTCAACTAGTGTTCCTTATCAGAGCACCCTTCCAAGCCAGAAATCCAACAAAAACAGAACACCTCAACAGAACAAACGCACCCTCGGAGGCGGACAACAGCCAGATTCATCTGCACTCGTCTGATTCTGCTGTCAACTTTTATGGGTCCTGCCAACCCACCGCTGTTTGGGGCTCAGTCGCCTGAAGGGAGGCCCTGCTCGCCACCCACAGGGGAACTGCGCAGGGCCAGTGCGATATGGCCCGGGACACTCAGCGCAGCGGCCGCGCCGACAGCGTGCGAGAGCCGCCACGGTGCCTTCCCCTCGGGCCTTGGCCTTCCTCGTCGCTACATTTCATTTCACGCAAACTCTATGTCCTCGGCCACTTCACCTTCACTTTAAAGCACTGACTACAATCACAAAGGACAGGGTTAACCCAGCTGAAGGAACACTCCTGCCTTCAGAGAGCACACAACTGGGGAAGCAGATACAACAAAAGCGCGTTAAGCACGAACCACACCCACAGCAAGTCTCAAATGCCTTTGCTGCTAAATCGCACATTCTTTATTGACTGCAAGTAATTAGCATTCTACCTTGCACAAAAAATAGAGTTTTTCTGTAAACTCACTCACACGGCACCTCTTTACGAGGCACAACCGTGTTAGGCCATCCATGTGCAGGTGCCAGGCGGTGGGCAACACAGGGCCCCCCCTCAGGGAGCGTCATCGTGCAGTACAGGACGGACAGAACACTGAAGCTGGGCGAAGAATCAACAGCTACACAGGGGTCATCCTCGAAGATTCTATGTGGGGTACTTCAGGGCACTGTCAGGACGCAGGATAACATCCTACCCCAGACCAGACACTGAAACTAAAAAGACTGTGGCCGGCATGGTGATGGAGCAAGGGAGACCCAAACCCGATCCCTCCAGCACCAATCCTTCCTTCCAGGGACCACTCCAGGAGCAGGACGGAACACAGGAGCCCGCGGAGAGTGAGCTCTGCAGAACAAGCCGTCCCTGACAGCAGATTACAGCCCCACAACTGCACACCTAACAGTCCAGCCAGTGTCCCAGACGTCACAGGTGGCGCAGTGCCCTTCTGTCTGTATTCACCCCACAAAGGATGGGAGGACATCAGGGCACGCATGAAGAACGAAGCTTTTCCTGTTGAGAGGTGCACTGAAATAGCACCAATTTGTGTTTGTTTCAGAACCAAAAGTAAAATACAAAAATACTCCCACCTGCAGTCAGACCCCTGTCTTGAAGAATGACAGTTTTATGCGTGTGCTGGCTCACCATATTCCTATTCTAGCTGAAAGGGCTCAGAGAGGTTTGTCACAACAGCACCGAACACAGGAAACGAGAATGAAGATAAAGGTGAGACATGAACAAAAGAGCAAGCCAAGAGACAAACAGAAAGAACTGCCAGAATCACTGTGAAAGGCTCCCTCCAGCTCACACAGCCATTCTGCTACAGAGACAGCCTAAAACAACATCCATGCCCAGCGCGGTCCACGGGCAGAACGAGAAGCTGCAGAAGGGAGCCTCCGAGGCTGAGGGGTCGTCTCCTGTAGCTTCACTGTCAGACAAGGAAGCCAAGGCCCAGAGAGGCCCTGGGGAGGGCGCGGCTTCTCGCAGAGGGGCCAGGAACAGTGGGCGCCCCGCCTGGGGGCACTAGACACGGACCACGTGGACAGTGCTCCCCTCACTCAGCCAGAGAGATGGGTGCCCCTGCTGCTCACTGCGTCCGGGGCCGCTCTTCTAAGAGGTCGGTCCCCAAGAAGCAGGATGTTAAACCTGAGTGTATAATCTGAGTTTTAGAGTCCAGATAGTCCACTTTTGCTCAGACCTGTAGGTCAATAAACAGGAAAGGTCCAAAACCACTGCCGCCGCCCTCTTCGTGTTCAGCTTCCACGTTCACTGAGCCTCAGCCTGCCAGCACCTGCCCTCCTTCCCCAGCCCCAGCCCTCAAGGCCCTGCTCGAGGTCCCCGCCTCCAGCATCCCCTGCACTCCACCCACACACGGTGTTCAAGTGTCACTAACCCACAAAAAACAAAATAAAAACACCAGCTGCTTGGGGAAAATAATTATTTCTGTAACTTTGTTTTACTTTTGTACTTTTTATCATCTTCCTCCACTCTGGGCATAGAAGAGTGGATCAGAAAACGCTTGGCCCACAAAGAACCCACACCAAGGCTGAATGCCCTTATTTCACGACCCGATCATTCACTCCCCAATGGCCCAGGATGGCCCGAGGGGAGTGCCCCCGCAGGAAGCGCCCTCTACCTGATGCGGCTGCGGGCGGTGGGGGTCACGGAGGCCGTGGGCGAGGAGGAGAGCGACAGCTGCGGCGAGGTGGCCCCCATGGCCATGAGCGCAGCGGGCGACGCGCCCTCGGGAGCTGACACTTCGCGCTTCATCTCCTCGCTGCTCCGTCTGGACACTGCAGGTTAGAGCAGAAGCAGTTCACACGGAGCTCTTGAGACATCTCGTTCAGCAGGTCCCCACAGAGCAGAGACCCGCCCCCCGCGTGTGCGTTACTCCGCCAGGCCTGGCTCTCGGACCCTATGGACTGCAGCCCACCAGGCTCCTCTGTGCATGGCATTCTCCGGGCGAGAACACTGGAGCGTGCTGCTCCAGGGGTCAGACTCGGGTCTCACCCGCATTGCAGGCAGATTCTTTACCTTCGAGGCCACAAGGGAGGGCCAGAAACTATCACACAGGAGGAAAAACTAACATTGTCTTTATCTGACTGATAATGTGAAAGGATTTTATTTTTTTCTTTTAAAAAACTGTAAAAAAACAAAAAAAAAAGGTAAGCTGTTGAAGTGTGCACAGAAGCCCACATCCTAGCACACACCTGGCCCACTGTGAGTCCCAGCAAACCTGGTTCAATCACAAACACGACCAAAACCAAAAACACTTGCTCTCAACTACAATCAACAAAACCCTCTGAACTTGGCCAAAAACACTGAAGAGACAAAAAGGAAAGATAGGGGCCACGCGTAATTTGGGGTCAAGCCAAATTTTACAAAAACAGGATCAACGAGCTGGAAAAGCAGAAGATGCCACGTCAAGTCAACCACTGAGAAGCAGGACACATCGGGAAAGCCCTCCCTGGAGAGCCCGACAGAGCCCGGCACGCACCGTGGTGGCCTCACAAAGCCCTGAGAACTGCAGGTTTGGAAGCAGCCCCTGACCACAGGGCCACAGGGGAGGCGGCTTTCTGTCCACAAGGCGCAGGGGACCAGCGGGTGCTCACAGAGCTGGGCTGAGCACGAGAGCCGTGAGACACGAGACCAGGCCCTGACCCCAGATGGGCCGCCTCAGCAGGCGCGGGAGCGGGAGCCGTTGCAGTGCCAGGCCGGACTGGCTGGGACGCAGGCCTGCCCGCACCAGTCGCCTCCCTGGCCGGCCAGCTAGCACCTCCTGGCTGTGGAGGGCCTGCATCTCTGTATCTGCGCAGTGATGGGCCCCACAGCTCGGAGGAGACACGCTTTCTCCTACAATAAGGTCTTAGTAAAAGGATGCACTTGCGCGTCCGACAGAGGTTTAAAATCATTCTGCCTTTTTCCTCCACTGTCTGTATAAATCTGAAGTTTCTTTCAAGTGTTGTGCTAGGAAACGGGGTGAGAAACCTTTGTAATTTCACAGAAAGCAAAGGAAACAGACAAGAAAGAACGGGAAGAACCCTGTGACGGGAAAGGGCTCCGGACCTTGGCTTTGCAGGAGAGATTTTGGTTGGACTTTCCACTCAGCTAAGGAGTCCTAGAACTACCAAGTGAAATTCACATCCAAGTGGGATGTTGCCCACAGGAGGCAGGGGTGAAAAACCTCTCCTTTGCTGGTCCAACTTCTAGCTGAGCTATTGAGGGTTAAAAAAAAGCCACAAAGGGAAAATAACAAGGACGCTGAGAAACGGGAACGTCAGCTCAAGGAAACCAGCACACCACGGCCACCAGACGCAGTGCCAAGACACGCGTGGCCCTCCACGCGCCGACACCCGGCTTCAGAGCGCTCCGGCATGCTGGGAGACAACCTCCACACCAGCCACAGCACATCCTGGGCAAAGATCCAGCCTGCCGTGACTACGGCGTCTCTGATAGCTCAGCTGGTGAAGAATCCGCCCGCAATGCGGGAGACCTCGGTGGGGGGGACCCGCTGGAGAAGGGACGGGCTACCCATGCTGGTTTCCTTGAGTTTCTCTGATAGCTCAGCTGGTGAAGAGTCCGCCTGCAACGCGGGAGACCTGGGTTCCATCCCTGGGTTGGGAAGATCCCACATTTGTTAAGTGAATGGAACTATCTAGCTCTTTTTTTTTTTATTTTTGAAGTCAGGGCCAAGAAATATGATTTCTATGAAATCTGTAAGATACAATGGGGAAATTAAGAGTGAAAAACAATCAATTAAAGAGGCAGGTAAGGTTAAACGAGCCTAAAGAGAAGGTACTCAGTTCCACCAGCAGACCTTCCTGATGCATCTCTCAAGGACGTCTCAGGTGAAAGGCACTACCTGAGATGGTCTTTGCGCTCTCCATGGCAGGTACTCTCGGCAGAGAAGCAGGTCGGCTGGTCGAAGACGTTCTCAGCAGATGCTCTGAGGGTGGAAAGTGCCACAGTGAGGAGACCTGACCCCGAACTTCAAGGGCACAGGGAGCAGGCAGCTCTCCTCTCGCCCAGAGGAGAGGCTTGTCCCTCCTTCCCGTCCAGGCCCCTTGACGGCTCCCAGAGTCCCCAATACAAACACCTCCCACCAACAAGGGCCATTTCATTCACTTGTATTTCCAGGGATGAGACATTCAGTGCAGACCAACGCTTCCAAACCACTGAGAGCTACTTCCGTCTGATGTAATTCAACCAGAAGCCCAAGACGCTCTGCCGCATCAAGGCCTAAAGGCACTCAGCCCACGCCGTGCCCTGTGAGCCCACAGTGTGTGTAGCGGGGGGCGGGCGGGCACACAAGCCCAAGGCCGGGACGAGTCAGGCCCATCAAGCCAGAGGGGGAGGCCGCCCACCACGGCCTGGGCGGCAGGGGGCCTTCAGCGCCGACGAGGCCGTCTGGCCGGCTGTGCTGCTGGAGAGCAGGCTGGGGAGCAGAGAGGGCTGCGGGCGACGGCTCTGGGGGCGGTGCGGCTGCTGTGTGAACATCAGCCTGGGGACAGCAAGGACCCCCAAGGGAGGACAGAGGCAGTCCGCACCCCGCCTGTCCGCCCCCTTGCTACACCAGCCCGGGTCGGGGGACTCTGGGGTCCCCGGGGCAGCAGCTCCCCTGCCTCCTGGCCCAGCCATGTCACTGCCCTGGGGCCAAGCTCCAACACCCCTTCCCCGGCACCTGCCTCCCACAGTGGGCACCCCAGACCCAGGCCAGCACACCTCTGAGCCCGGCGCCGCTGCAGTCAGGCCGGGAGGACAGGCACAGGAGGGCCAGGCGTGCTGTGTGCCTGGGCCACGCGCCAGGTGGGGGCCGCGAGAAGACTGCTCACCTCTTCTGAGAGCAACACACTTGGAAGGGAAAGGAGAGTGACCGAAACAAACGGCCCCACGCGCGTGTCTGTAAGAACAGCCTGCCTAACACACACTCCCTCTCAGCTATCAGGGTGTCAGCTGCCTCTCCAGGACAGCGTGTCTCTCATACTGACACGGACTTTCCCAGAGTGGGAGGCTGTACCCACATGGCGCCCTGGAGGGAAGGCAGGGCAGGGGGACTCACACCACCCCGAGCCACTACCCCTTCCTCGTCCTGAACCGACACACCCAGGGCAGGGCCTCCATCCTGACCCCGTGTGGCTGCCCACGTCCTCACAGAAGCACACACGGTGTACAAAGCCAGACTAAGCAGAGCTGGGAGAACACGGAAGCCATAGGAAACAGGAGTCAACATTTTAAATGGAGCCCAAGTGCCCACTTCAGTTACAAGACGGGTCCTGGCCTAGAGGCTTCATCTCCGAGGAGACGACCGTGAGACCAGGTAACAAACGCACCGGTGAAGGGCGAGGGCCTCCAGGCATGCAATGGGGGCGCAGCGCAGGGACGCCCACCCACCTGCCGCAGCCGGCTCACTGCATGTTCAAGGACCCAAGTCGTCTCAGCTCAGCACAGGGTGACACCTCCCTTCTGAGGAGGCACCTTCCACCGGGCCCAGCGGGGTGGCCGCACCCCCCACACGCACACACCCTCCAGTCTGCCGCATGGGTCACCGCCAGACGTGAACTGCCAGCGCAACGCTTCGGAAAGGCAGTCCAGCGCGTCAGGCAGACGAGGATGGCAGGAGACAGCAGATGTTGCGGTGACCGGGTCTGTTCTCGGAGCCCCTCTAGTCTTTAACCCATGCGTTACACAGAAACCACAGGCCCTGGGCAACACATGAGGTTGCAGCAAGGAGGGAAGCAAGTAGGACCTGCCCTCGTGGAGCTGAGGCTATGGTGGAAGTCAGACGTTTAAGACAACCGCGTGCGAGGGACGCAGGAAAGCAGCAGCACCGGGGCCGTGAGCTGCCGGAGGAGTCTGGGGAGGCCTCCCTGGGAAGCGACGCTGCAGGGAGTAGAAGGGTGACCGACAGCCTTTACGCAGGCACAGGAGAGGGGCGTCCTCAGTGCTCAGCAGACACCAGGAAACGCCTGGACCAGCAGGGCCGCGAGGGCGGGGCTGAGGAGCGCGGCCCCACCCCTGGGGGCGGGGCGTCGGGGACACTGTCCTGGGGGGCGGGGCATCAGGGACAGTGTCCTGGGTGGACACCCTGCCGTCCGCGGGGGGGTGGGGTACAGGGGGCGGGGCGCGGTGCACGCAGGTGATGAGCGGACTGCAGGGCAGAGAGCGGGCGGCCTGGATGCAGGCAGTGCCAGGGAGACACACACGGACTCAAGGCTCGTCAGGGGCAGACTCGCAGACTGCTGACCACGCGGACAAGCAGGTGAGAGAAAGGAGGGTCCCCGTGCGGAGATGAGCGAGGGAAACGAGGGGCACACGCTGCACGGAGAGCCGGGGAGACGCCCAGGGCCGCCGGCGCCAGCAGTCGGCACGTTCCGGGGACAGCGGGGAATACCCAGCTGACACCCAGCTCTGTCAGCACCCAATGGACGAGACGGTGACAACCTGGTGGCAGGAGGCCATGGTGGCTGGGGTCGGAGCCGCTGCAGATGCTGGGACAGAGTGAGGGGCGAGTGTGCTGAGGAGACTGGAACAGGAAGCGGTGGGCGAGCGAGGTGAAGAGGCGGGAGCCGCGGGGTGGGCCCACGGCTGTCCGAGCCACGCCTGCCCGAGCCACGCCCGCGGGGTGAGCTGAGGCCCAGGCGGAGGAAGGAAACCGCACAGAGACTCCCACCCACCCTCTTCACCAAATTTACAGGCAGCGCAGTGGGTTTAAAACCAGGAGCCGAGGGCTTCCCTGGAGGTCCAGGGGGTAGGACTCTGCGCTCCCCCTCAGAACACACGTTCGATTCCTGACCCAGGAACTAAGATTCTGCATGCCACAGGGCAGGGCCAAAAGAGAAGAAACACCTGTGACAAGAGAAATATGTGACTTCTTTCCACTTTCCTGCGTGCTTGAAATGTTTCATGATAATATGCTGGAGAAAATATGACAGCCTAGACAGTCTGGTACCCACTCCAGTGTTCTCGCCTGGAGAATCCCAGGGATGGCGGAGCCTGGTGGGCTGCCGCCTATGGGGTCGCACAGAGTCGGACACGACTGAAGCAACTTAGCAGCAGCAGACAGTCTGGTTTATGAAGACAAACACCAAGAGCCACCTTCAGAAGTGGTCAGATGCACACGAGGCTGCAAACACAGGAGGGCGTGGTCTCTCTCTCAGCCTCTCCTGGGAAGCTCCCCACTTGGGCTGGGCTAGAGTCGGGCTTCAGTCCACCCTCTGGAGAAGGCAAATTGCTGTGAAACTTTTCAATAAGAGGTTCTTTTCCTTCTAACTTAAAAGACGTGGCTTTCTAGTGAAACCTCTGAACTTCATATGACATTTGGTACGTGTACCCTTACCGTAAATCAGTTTTTTCAAAATACTGAATTTTTTTAAAGGTTTACATCTCTGTCCCCAAGTAACACAATTCAGTGGGATGATCACAGCAAGACTCTCCTTGCAGAAGGTGACTGTCCTTGGACCGGTCAGCTTTCTTGGATGTCTGAGCTGATGACACCAACATGACCCTCAGGCCACGCCAACCCTGGGCAACCCCAGCTCCCCAACCGTCTGCATGACCAACTGAGGTCTCCGCTTGACCATGAACCTTAAAGATCACTGTGCAAGGGGACAGTGAAGACCCCCCCAACTACCTGGATCCACGTACCTTCTCAGGCTACAAACACTAGCTCACATGCAGTCTACAAAGGCCCACCTGTTATGACCCAGACCACCGAATTCAACTGCCAACCATACCAACAGAAGTCTACTTAGAACAAGATCTCTGGTCTGAAACACTTTCCTGTGTCTGACATATAAGCATGACAAAGAACAGAAAAAAAGTTACATCTTTTATAATATACTTCACTGGAAAAACCAACAAATTATCCAACCTAAGTACAGCGGAACAAAGGCAGCCCTTCCGAACTCCTGGGCTCTTCAGACGGCCCAGTGCAGACTGTGCTGTCTGAGGCACGCCGGGGCCGAGGACGTGGCGCAGCAGCACTCGGGTCTCCCCGCTCAGTCGGCCTGGAGAGCCACGGTGGCTTCCGAGGATCGAGACTCCGCTGGTGGTTCTTGGTTTTTTAAGTGGTTTCTTTCCCTAGTGAGTATTTAAGATAAAAGGCTACACTATCAACAAATCCTCCAGTAAGAAGTCACCTGGAAGTGTTTCCTGCTCCCTGCATTTGCAGTTTCAGCCAAGCCCAGTAAAGGCATCCGAGCAGACAGACCTGGAGAGCGAGGGCAGCTCTCGCAGGGGGGCCGCACACCCCCACGCCCCGTGGCATCGTCACCTGACCGTGAGCAGCAGATAAACAAAAGGGAGCCAGGAAAAGCCCCGGACACTCACCTCATCAGTCTGTGTCCTCAACAACCCTGGCCCACACACCTGATACACCCATTTTCCACCAACAAAACCAGGGTCACGGGAAACTCCACAGCAATCTGTGCCCAGTTCCCCAAGCTGGTCCTTTCCTAACAGCCACTTGGGTGCTTGTGAAATGAAGTGTCCCTGCCCCTTTCCCAGACAGTCCACGTCAGCACATCTGAGGTAAAGCCCAGGACTCCACATTTTACCAAGTGACTCAGGTAGAGCTCATCAACAGGTAAGTTTGAAAAACACTGCTCGTTCTAAAAAGGTTTCCCCATAAACAAGTTACAGAACACACACAGGAGAGGGGGCCCCTAAGTACCCCTCACAGGCCATGGAGAAGGGCCCAGCGGGGAGACGGGAGCACACGCAGAGCCGGCATGAAGGAACCAGAAGAGCGTCCGGGGAGGGAGTTCAGCACGGCCAGACGCGGCCCGCAGCCACCGACACCATGGACCACGGCCGCTCAGGGGACAGGGGAGGGGGCGAGGCTGACCGCAGGGGATTGTGAGCCGGGCTGGGGGGGGTGGGGAGAGAAGGCCCTGAGCGAGGTGTTCCCGTGACCCCTGACTCACATGAGGAAACAGCATTAAGAGGTCAGCCCCGGGACCTGTGGGCGCACACACAATCTGGGACCCTGGTCAGGATGCACCGGGAGCCTTTAAAGCGCCACACGCCTTCCCTGGGCGGGGGCCCTTCCGGGCAGAGGGGAGACCTCGGGCCCCACCAACGGGTGAAGCGGAGGCGGCAGCCGGGGCGGAGAGCGAGCCTGCAGGGTGGTGGCAGCAGCCTGCCCTGGGCCCCACTGCGCCCTGCCCAACACCTGTGCGAGCCCAGGAGGCAGGAGGCCCCCCAACACGGCCCGCCACAGCACTTCAGCCCCACCCGAGGAGGCAGTGGGGAGGAGACGGACCCCTGACGCCCAGCGGCGGCGCCACAGAGAGCCCGTGCAGACGGCACTGCCCGGGGCCCGGCTCTCAGTCTCCACTCCTCTCACAAGTGCCCCAGAGCACGGGGGCCAGGCTGCCGGCTCCAACGCTCAGTAACTACGTGAACCTGTGGTTCCTGAGACGCTCAACTGCCTGAAGCCTCACTGTCTGTGTTTATAAAGTGGGGCTAACCGCACACGCCCCACGAAGCACTGTGAGAACAGGGCCCAGCAATGTGCAGACTCCTGTCGCCCTTGGTGGCACAAGGAGCATCGTATTCCAAGATGTGTCTACTAGTAACTACTCCCCGATCTGCACACAGGACACCTTCTCAGTGAACCTATGACACAGACGTATACCGGGGTGGCGGAGATAATAAGAACAGATGAAGAAGAGCCAGATGAAGAAAACTAACAGCGGCAGTGAAACACGGTGCCCGAGACGTACCTTGAACAGGGATCTCCCCGTAGTTTGGTCTCTTATCTGAGAGGGCTGTCAGGGGTTTGGACGTGGAGATCGGTCCACTGATGGAATGTCTCTGAAACCACAGGACAAAGGGTGTCAGACAGCACTGTCGTAGTCACTCAAGTGCTGGCATCACGGAGGGGACGTCCTCCAAACTTGCTTTCTCCCCCGCCAGCCCCCTCCCAGAGGCCTGGGATATTCAGGATCTTTCAAGTTTCCACATAAACTTCGCATGAAACCATCCACTTCCACAGGACTGTGTGCGGGGACAGGCTGGGTGTGCAGCCCCAGCTGAGGGAGGGTGTGAGACCCAGCGATACAGCCTCGCAGCCCGTGAACGTGACAGGTCTCCCCATTCCTCACCCCTCTAACTCCTCTCAGGGTCATCTCATGGTTCTCCCTGTGAGGTCGTGCACAACGCTTCATTCAGCATATCACTAAGCATCTCAGCTTCTGGCTGTGGGCTGGACTGACAGAATTGAGGAGACAGGGAGAGGAGTCCCCCAGACAGGACCGAGGCCTCTCCCCCCAATCACCCTGCCACACTCTGCTCATAAGAAGTGAGTCACGGAGCCCAGCCCTCCCCGGAAGGGGCAGACGACACTCGAGCGTGGCAGAGGCAGCCAGGATCTCGGGAGCGGTTCACAGCCCGCTGCCCCATTACTGATGGATCTCCTCAGCCCTTTGCTTCTAAGGTCGTTCAGGGCAGGGCTGTTTAGCTCCACTTCACAGCGTGGCCCTTGAGGGTCCCTAATGAACGCTCCAAGGATTCAGAGAGGACTTCCCACGGTGGGCAGAGGGGCAGAGGCAAACGAATCCTGCCCCACGCAAACCCTGAGAAACGCCGGTCCACCAGAGCCCCAGGAGCCACTCTTTCCTGCAGACCGGCCCCTGCCCGGCCGGCCGGGCCCAATCTGTGCCCCGCGTGTCGGCGGCCTCAGCCATGACCCAAGGGGAGCCCTGCGGGGCTCCGGCCTTGTCCACATGGCTCTCTGCTCCAGGCACCCCCCACCCCAGCACTCGTGCTCCCTCCTGGTCTCCCCAAATGCAGCTCCACGTGGGCGCCTCCTCCCTGCTCACCACGGAGAACAGCCTGGGCCACAGCAGGACTCGGCCCCAGGCCACCTGTCCGGCGACATCTGAACAGAACTGCCTCTGACCCCTGGTCTGGCCTCCCGGCTGCCCATGGTGCAGAGCCACCCAGCCAGGACCCCTCAGGGCCTCAGCGAGGCCTGAAACGCACCACTCCTCACCTTGGGCCCTGTTCCCAGGGATACTTGTGTTCACCAGGAAATGGCCTGGGGGTCTATGTGTTTACAGTTCCACACGAGCTTCGTGCACAATCAGGTTTGAGAAGCGTGTGCTAGCTAAACAAGTGCTAAAATGCTATTGACTGTAGCTTCTATTAATAATTACTAGTTTGTTTTCCAAGGTAGAAAAATGAGATTTTTTAATCTCTTATCTTTACAAAAGTTTAGAAATTGACATTATGAACATTAAACCTCAGCTGACAACCACTATTTACAGAAACTTCACCTTATTTGAAGATTACGATATCTCAGTGCCTTTATTTGCTTTCATTTATATTTTCATGCCTTTATTATTTTTTTATTTTCATGCCTTTAAAAAATCCGATTAATAGAGTGCAAAGAAAAAAGCTCCCTATAGATAGAATATGGAGTTTCCTCTGCCTCCTTCCAAACTAAGAGTGTAACACTTCCCACGCACACGCAAAGCACAGGCACGCACCTGCATGGGGGAGACGGCAGCCGCAGGGGGCGTTTTCATGGGACTCGGGCTCAGAGGCGTTCGGGGGATTGCTGCCGTGGCAGGGCTGGGCACTGGAAGACAGGAAACACACGGTGAACGAGGACATGAAGGAGAACAGCGGAAGCTTCACAAACACCCCCCACAGGGAGCACCGACCAGCCAGCACTTGGGGCTTCCAGGGAACAGCTGCCACCCCACCTCCTCAACCCCACCAGCCCTGCGCAAGGGGGACAGTCTGCTCCCTAGACAAGTGGTGCTGACTTCCAGGCCTGGCTGTGCCGGTCACGTCACTCTTGCTGCTTAATTACATGGTTAAGTGCTCCACAAACCGAGGACGCCACGTGCAAAAACCTCAAGAGTGCTTCTGTGGCTCCATCAGGTGAGAGGCTGGACACGCGGTGGGCATTCTTGGCATGTTACATGAAAGGAAGCTGGGCTCAGAGCAGCTTTCCTCCCCGCCCCTGTGGGGCTCCGCAAATTCCCTCACGTGGATCTCCACAGGTGTTCCATTTAATGCACAATATATAATATCCGCTCACATGTCAACCTTGCTCTCTAGAATGAACCACACAAAAGGAGGATCCCAGGAATTCCCTGCTGGTCCAGTGGCCAGGACTCTGTGCTTTCACTGCCAGGACCCAGGTTCAGTGTCTAGCTGGGGAACTAAGATCCCGCATGGCTGTGAATTTGTATTAAAAAATAAGAAGGGGCCCCTGGATGGCAGTGGGTGGTGGCCTGAGCTAGCTGCCGACTGCGCTCCCAGAGACAGAGCAGAGCGAGAGGGCTTGACAACGGGGCTGATGCCGGGGAGGAGGAGGACGGCTCCGAAACGCCTGGCCTGCTAACTGGGCAGCCCGGCGCTGCCTTCACAGGAGAGACAGCAGCTGAGGGGCCAGGTCTGCTTCTAGACAAGAGACGTCATCTGGAGACGCCGGGTGTCAGGGTCTGGCAGCACCTGAGCACACAGGCCCGCGGGGCTCAGAGGATGAGCGGGCCCAAAGTCCCAGACCTGGAAGCTGCCCGGCTCGGAGAAGACACCTGACCCCCGCCTGGGGTAAGCCCGAGTCTGTGGCTGAACAGACCCCAAATCTCCTGCTAAAACTTTCCCTGCAGGAAGATTGACTCCCTGACACTGTGTGGAGTGTGATGAGACTCAGAGCAGGATGGTGATGACACCAGCCAGCCCAGAGGGCACATGCCTGAGCGTGCCATCCGCCAGGCACAGCAGAGAAGCTACCTTGAGACGCGCTGTCAAAGGACTTGATGAGGGTCTTCACCGTGGGCGTCGGCTCCGAGGACGTCGAGGACCTTCTGCTCAGCCCCATGCCCTGCCTCAGGGCCGCCAGATCTCTCTCCACAGCATTCATGTAGTTATACACCCGGCCACGCTCCTCCTCCTGCCTGAAAACAACACGCAAGTCAGGGCACTTCTGCACATACCCTAGAAAACACACACTTCCCTTTCCCAGCTGAGAAGCATTAGAAACTATCAGCTAAAAAAACAGTGATATCACTTGAGCTGAGTAAACCACCTGGTCTGATAATCTCATTAGATTCGTGAATTCCGGGAAACGACATTAAAATTTTTACATCAGGTCATCCTGACCAGGTTAAGTGACCATCGGTTTCCATTTCCATCTGTGTTAAGTGGAAGGTGAGAACACTGGTAATCAGCAGGGAGAGGGAGGCGGCCTGGCTGAAGACCCTGACTCAGGACAGGGCCTGAGAGGTCTGGGCTGCCGGGAAGGCCTGTGCTGTCCCGGGAGGGAGAATCTGGCTCCATCCAACGTGCCATTCAGGCTTCCCGGTGCCTCGGGAGTAAGAACTAGCCTGCAATGCAGGAGACGCAAGAGACCCCGGGTCAGAAAGATCCTTTGGAGGAGGAAACAGCAACTACTCCACTATTCGTGAATGGAAAATCCCATGGACAGAGAAGCCTGGTGGGCTACAGTCCATGGCGTCACAAAGAGTTGATACAACTCAGTCACTAAACACCACCAAAACAAACAAACAAAAAAAGAATAACAGTGTTTCAACATTTCTGCAAACCTCATTAATGTCTAGGTTAAGAAGACGGTCAAAAAAAAAAAAAGACAGTCAGATTCTCATTTCTTCTGTATTCAATCTATTGCGATATGAAAAAAAAAAAAGCAGGCTCATGGGTATGTAATTGGAAAAGGCAAAAGTATCTTAATGATACTGCACTTGTCATACAGAAATAATAGCTCACAGAGTTACACGTTATTTCCCAAATGTTGATGCTTATCATTAAACGGTTTATTTTTAAAGTCTCTTGTTGGTATCACTAGTGATCTCATCAGGAAACCCTTTATGGGGAGCTGCTGAGCTTGCAATGGCAGATACAAGTTTTCCAAAATCCTAACATTTACTTAAAAGCCCATGTTTCATCACTGGTGCCAAACACTGTCAGTTGTTTCCTTGAAGTGACAGGCTCCTTTAATCGTTTCCAAGAAATATCCACCAAACACCAAAGTCTGAATACCAACAGCTCGAGTCAGTCATTCTCACGTAAGGATTTTCCCTCCATGAAAACACGCGGGGCTCTCCTCCAGCCCCCCCACACCAGTGCATGACGATGTGGCAACGTGACTCCCACCTGGACCTCAGGACTGAGACAAGTGATGGGATAATTCACTGCTGCACCAAGGACTGGAAGGAAAACTGCTCTGTGAAAACGCGAGTGGCTGGGATGGGCAGCACAACTGGGAGCCAGGGCCTGGGTCCCCCAGCAATTCACGCCTGCCTTCCCCTCCATGGGCAAAAGGCAACAGAGTGCAGAGAGCAAACCGCCTGTCAGTGTCCCTGTAAAAGCAGTCTGAGCTCAGAGAGCCCCTGAAAGGGCCCCGGGGGCCCCCGGGCCTGCAGACCCCCTCCTCTCAGAGGCTCGCCCGGTGAGCATGCGTCTCAAGGCCTGACAGGCTCTCGGGAGCCCGTGGACCGAGTCTCAGAGCCCAGCCTGTCAGCTGCGGTACCTCTCGAGTGGAGCATTTCTGACACACTGCTCCCGCAGTGGTGGAGAGGAGGAAGGGTGTGTACGAGCGAAGAAGTAACGACCTCCCCACTCACTCCATGTGCTGCTCAGTGAAGAAGCCAAAGAGAAACAGCTCACCAAGACTCTCCACCAGGCCATCCACTAGACCCAGGCGGTGATAAAACACAACAGCTTTTCAAGTTGGCCTGTTACATGTTTCATATTTTTCTAAATTTTCCCCTAAGGCTATTTAAGAATTGTTCAATGTAATCAACAATCAAATTCTTAATACTAACCTCCAACTCTGACACTTATCTCTCTGAGAGAGATACTTGGGGCTTCCTGGTGGCTCAGCTGGTAAAGAACCCGCCTGCGGTGCAGGAGACCTGGGTTGAGAAGGTCCCCTGGAAAAGGGAAAGGCTACCCACTCCAATATTCTGGCCTGGAGAATTCCAAGGACTGTACAGTTCATGGGGTCACAAAGAGTTGGACACGACTCAGCAACTTTCATTTCACTTAATAAAAAAAAAATCTCAGAAACCAGTCTCTCCCCTCACACACAGTCTCCCTAGGAACTCTGGGTGCATCATCTAAGACTTCTCACAGGATTCCAAAGATGTCTATGTTAAATGGGAGAAACTCCATGGGTTATGAGCACAAGACACTCTTCAAGCGAGCAGCAGAGAGAAATCGGCCTGCATTCTTCGCTCGCGTCTCTGAGACACCCGCTGACGGACACCGGCCATGGCCCTGAGCAGTGTCCAGGTGTCTCATTTCAGCCCCATAACAACTCTGTGATGGAAGCAGCACTGTGTCCACTGCAGAGACGGGCAAACTGAGGTCCTGACCGAGACCCCAAGGCCAGCAGCAGCAGCAGCAGCTGCACAGGGCCGAGTCTGTCTCCAGGGTGTGCAACCTCCGTGACGATGACAGCCCCGGGAAGAGCGAGGGGCTGGGACGGGGGCAGAGGACAGGCAGGAACCGCGATGGACCAGGTGCTGTGGCCACTCCAGCCCCTCCAGAGCTGGGGACTGTGGACGCTGACGACAGCTCAGGAAGACCACGGGGCCTGGGCTACTTTACAGGGTGACTCAAGGACTGACAGGCTCTGGGGAGCCCGTGGGACGAGCTTGGACTTGGGTCACTTCCATTCGACCCAAACTCGGTCACAGAAGCATCAAGACACAGTCTCCCTCTAAAGTCACATCATAGAACCAGGACTCACAAGCTCCCTATGGAAACTGAAGGGCACAGCTGGCTTCCCAAACTTACTTGCGTGACTTTATTTCCTCCAATTCTTTTGTGAGCTTCTCATTTTTCTCTTGAGCTTCATGTAAGCGGCGCTTCAGGTCACCAATCTCCTCTTGGGCTTCAGACTTAATGTCATTTGCGATGACCACCGCAGTCTGCAGATCAGCCTGGAACTGCCGCCATTCCGCTGACTCCTCCTGCATTAAAAAACCATGTTTTTATTTCCAAAAGAGAACAATGAACATGTATTTTAAAACAATAAAATGTGCTTATGATTAGACTGCTATAATGCACTGTCTCAAGTGATGACTGATTTCTTTTAAGTCCTAGAGAACTGCTAGTACCTATTTCTAACAGATTACAGTAATTATTTTTAGTGAACGGTGTTCCTGGTGAGGAAAAGTTGCCAGCTGACCTGCTTGCTGAGGCAGCAAGCACTTAGGCTGCTCACGTAAGGATAATCAGGTCAGGCCTCGCTTCCTTGAGGCAAGCTTCAAAGTTAGTCTTGTGAAAATAAACATATCATCCAAAATATGCCTCTGAAGAGCTCAAGCAGGTAGATACATGGTGTGTGAACTACACTGTAAGATTTTACAGTGAAAAACTATAAATATCCTGACATCAAAAATGAACAGGAAAAAAAAAAAATCAAAAGGAAAGGAAGAGGAAGCCAGAAGGAAAACACTAAATTTAGCCTCAGCAGACAAAACACACACGAGGAGGAGTGAAGGACTGTCCACACAGTGGACAGTGTGTGGAGGACAGTGAAGGACTGCGGCCTCCCACGGCCATGGAGGCTGCAGGCATGGCTGGGCTGCTGCCCAGGGCGGCCGCCGCCGGAGCCACGGCCGCCACCCCGGAGGCAGTGCTCAGCAGCCTGAGTGACGGAAAGACATAAAGAAAGAAAGAGAGATCGTGCCAAGTCATGTCTCGCTCGTGTGACCCCATGGGCTGCAGCCTGCCAGGCTCCTCTGTCTACGGGATTTTCCAGGCGAGAGTACTGGAGTGGGTTGCCATTTCCTTCTCCAGGGGGTCTTCCCGACCGAGGAATTGAACCCAGGTCTCCCGAATTGCAGGGTCAACCCAAACCTCAAGACTGGCATCCCCCGCCCTCTGCATCAGAGTGTCGCTGCCGTCGCAGACCGATCAAACCCACAGGAGACAGCCCACAGAGGGCAGCTCAGCGTGGAGCCCTCCATGACCAAGGGCTCACGTCCCCTCTCTGAGGGGCTGGCCTCGCTCCCGCCTGCAGCCCAGCAGCTCTGGGTCATGGCAGCACCCGCGGGCGGGCGGAGGCACCGGCGCAGCTCTCAGGGAGCGGCGCTTCCCAACCGGACAGCACGTGCGCGCTTTCCTACCCGCAGTCGCCTGTGGAGGGTCTTGATTTCTCTTTCCATGTCATGTTTTTGGTCCTGGAGTTTTTTAACCGTATCTGAAAAGACCACAAAAGTTTACCTATTTATTCTTAAACCATGTTTAAAAGGAAAAATAGAAAGGGAGAGGGTACTTAAATATGTTATTCAAAAAGTCATCCTGCCCAAAGACATTCTGTTTTTAATATAAAACTTGAAAAGGAATTCCAATTCAAGTATAAACCAGTATGACTCTTTAAGGAAAATAACAAATTTAAATTGCAATTTCTGGATGACTTCCTTCCGCAGCGTCCTAATTGTGAAACAAAAAGCTAAGCTAAATCAACTCTTAGAAACACACACACACTGTTGGCTCATAACCAATCAAAACAACATTGACTGCAATTAAAATGGGAGCTTTTAATCAAAAGGGTTATTAGCCTATTTTTATAAGCGTAACTTAACTTTGCACACTACAATAAATTCCAGAAAAGTCGTGAATTTACTAAAACTTTTACAAACTTAATTATTTAATAACTTGGGGGAGCTGCTATTTAATTCTATAGGAAGTCTTTTCACAAAGGATTAAGTAATTCAATATTCCTCAAATTATTTCTTGCATAATGTGAATTTCCTTCAAACAACGTCATGCAGCGTGAACATCTGATGAGCACCACTAATGTGCAAAGGCTGCTCTAGACAGACCAGGGCTGCAAAGATGAGCAAGCAGACAAGGCCGTATCCCAGAACCCAGGCATGCACAGGGAAGTCGCTTTCTACTACTCCGAAAAGTCAGCTTTTTATGAAATAAAAAGTGAATCACTTTTACTCAGTAATTCAAGAAAATGCTCATAAGTATCTACTTTGTGTCAGATTTTTGCACAAGGTACCTGAGATATAAGGAAAGGGGGGAAAATGTGCAGTTCCTACCCTTTCAGAGACAGAAAAGAGGATGTTTTCATTGCAAAGGATTAAACTTTAACAGTCTGTCTCTACACAGCTGCTTCAGATCTCACTTCACCTAGAAACTCAGGGGTCAAAAGGGCCATCCCATTTGGCTCAGGGCAAAGTGGGAACACAGGTGAGTGGGCAAGTCCAGCACCTCTAGGCGAGGGTAGCTCTGGAATCAGAGGGAACTGGTCTGTCTGACCTACGTGTAGATGAAATTGGGGTCTTGGTGATATCAGCAGACACAGTCAAGGAACAAGGACAGAAGCTGTCACATTTCCAGTGTGGAAAACACTAGGGGTCACACACCTTTCATTTATAGTACACTTACATGCAAAAAACTTTACAGTTAAAACAAGCAAAAACAGAAAAGTGTGTATCTCTCCTCTGCTGAAAACTGCTCCCCTTCCCTCCTGGTGGCAGATGACCTGTCGTGTACGGCAACTTACACGAGACACATCACTGCAGCTCTTGCTGCCCTTTTCTCAGGTGACGCTTTAAGCTACACGGCCATCTCAGGCTCACCATAAAAAGCCCAGGCTTCGTTCTTTGCTCTTATCCTTTTCTCTTTACCAGCCTCTGCGTTCACGGCCACAGGATCCACGTAACCACGGCTCTCAAAGGACACTCCTTCACCCTCAGCGCTGCGCGCTCACTGCTGCCGTGAGTCCCCTTACACGGACGCTGACAGCCAGTGGACATATTCAGGCTGAATAAAGCACTCCAGGAGTCCCCAGGGAATCTTCTTATTCACGCCTTACAGAAGCACAAGAAGTGACCACAGGCTTCTCCTCCCTGGAACGCGGGCATCGGCGGTCCAGTCCTGGCCGTGAAGAGGCAGAGCAGTGGTCTGACACAGGGCCGCAGGGGGCCTCTGCACACGGCTCCCGCCTCACAGCCCTGAGTGGGGGAGACGCTGATGTCTACTGCCTCCCTCTCACACCCCGCAGCATCAAAGGGCAGAACCACACCGGCCACCCTCTCTAAGTTTTAACTCAACTTAACAACGCTGCTTTTACTCCAGAAATCCGCAGGCCTCTGTTCTCATTGTCACTGGGCCAGCCTTGCTCTGCACAATTCTGGGCACCGCCCTGCCCATCTAACAGCGGGCTTCACAGTCTTCCCGCCGGCAAGACCCAGCATCAACGACAAACCAGAACTGTCAGCCGGGCCTCCGCGCCACTTCCGGCCGCAGGCCCGTCCCCGCTGCGGGCGCCGTGGGCAGTAACCACACCACAGGACCCCCCCCACAACCCCTGCGGTGTGACGGGAGCACAGTCCCCACAAGCTTCCCTGCCCTCCGATACCAGAAGATGCCCAGTGCTCAGCCGGGCCCCTGTAGCCGGTCAGCGCCGACAACGGCCATCAGGTATAGTTTTCAGAGGCAGGGAGGACCCAGGAACCGGACAGCTAAAGCTGCACCCCTCAGGACCAGGGGCGGGGCAGTGGGCAGCCAGCTACCACGCCACAGCTGTACCCCCAAAACAGAGCCCCTGATGCAGGAGGAGGATATGCGTGAGTTGAAAATAAACCATTTACTACTTTTATTTATCTTCGTTTTTTATGTTTTGGCCATGCCTCACAGCATGCAGGATTTTAACTCCCCACCCAGGGACTGAACCTGCGTCCCCTGCGTTGGAAGTGTGCAGGTTTAATCCAGTGGACTGCCAGGGAAGTCCCTATTGCTATTTTTTTAATTTTTATTTTACTCATTTTTATCCCTCCCCTCAAAATGTGGATGTAACTTTTACCCCTTGATTCTAAATGTAATACATATTTACAGAAAAAAAAATTATACAGTCTCTACTGCTTTACAAGCTCTCCCACTAGTCAGTAGATACTGGACACTTTTGTCAATAAATACGACCCGCAGCACCATTCTGATGGCCACGTTCATACTCCGTCAATTGGAAGCATCATGATTTGTCTCCACAACCTCCTATTAACAGAGTCAGAATGGCTCCAGCACTTCCCATAGACACTACGAGTGCCTCCAGCTGCTCAGATGCGACGAGGACACACCTCCAGAAGGAGAGGTGCTGAAGGGCCACCGGATCCAAGTCGGCCCACCTGCTCCAGAACACAGAATTCTTCCTGAGATGATCCAAGTCGGCCCACCTGCTCCAGAACACAGAATTCTTCCTGAGAAGTCACCAAGTTAGGGACTGGACGCAACAGAATGCACTGAAATCGGTGTTTCTTTAGGAACGCCACTCTGGCCGGCTACAGTCTGAGTCTGATGCTCTATTAAAACTGCCACGGTCTTAATCACAGAAGCAACACCCCGGTTCATCCCCTGGGGCGTGCCTTCTCTCATGCACGCATCTCTCTGGCCTGTGCACACTGACCTGGCTTGCCCACCCCAGCTGGTCAAAGGGCAGCCGTGGCAGGGACGCACCACGCCCACGGGCTTCTAACTAGCCCTCACCTGTTGAAAATAGAGGTAATTCCCTGGTCTCTGTGGTGACCTGCAACTCGGGAGCACCCACATCTATGTGTACAGCTGCAACTCTTAAGGATGTCTCTGAAGAGCAGATTTCTGCAAGCAGGTTGTTATGGCACTGTTATACTTGTAAAAATTCTCATCAATACTCCAGAAAGGACCCTTTTCTCCTCTCTTACATGTTAGCTCTCTTTTTAATTCTTCACACCTGCATCTAGTTTTGAGTTTCATTGTTTTCAGAAGTCAAGCATCTTCCTGTATCTTTCTCTCACTTAATTATTTACGTACTTCATTTAGCTAATGGGTTATTCTAGTCTTACTGAACCTCTCTACGGATCTGATATCTATTACAAATACTTCTCCCAATGCCATTTGTTAATAATTCTGGTACTCCACTAAACTGAAAATTTTAATCATACACAGTCAACATGACTCTTCTCCATGAAGGCTCCCCAGTACCCTGCCTTCCAGGTCTTCTCATCACAGCAGGAAACAGCTTTCCTCCTCCTGCTCTTGCCTGTTCTCTCGTCTCGAGCCACCCATGCTCACCACAGTCATCAACTTCCACGTATCAGGATGCCAGGCCCTAGCTGGTCTGAACCTCAGGAACTGCAGAGGGCAGGCAGGGCAGAGTGCAGCTGCACGCGTGCGCAGAACAGGGCTACGCAGACAGCGCATGGAAGGTGAGGCCACAGCTAAGATGGGCCTGAGGTCTTGCTGGTGTCACTGTTCTCAATACGAGTCAGCTGCGTTCTGATTGGCACGTCAGCAGCTGTATTTTGGAGGCTCTGTTGAACCGTTTCTTTCTGCTGTTCTCCTCTAAGCTCTTCTAAGATGTTAAAAGCCGCGTTCCTAGTGGCTCAGCGGCAAGGAATCTGCCTGCCAATGCAGGAGACAGAGATTCGATCCCTGAATCAGGAAGATCCCCTGGAGAAGGAAATGGCAACCTGCTCTAGCATCCTTGCCTGGGAAATCCCATGGTCAGAGGAGCCTGGCAGGCTACAGTCTATGGGGTCGCAGAGAGTCGGACTTGGCTAAACAACAACAAGTATTAAAATGTCTAGTAAGTCCTAGCTGGTCTTTCTTACTTAACAAAGAATGATTCGCATCAGACACTCCTGAGTGCTTCTGGAAGGAACAACCAGCTAAAGGAAGGCTCCTGAGGATAGGAGCCTCTGGTGGGCGTGGAGGGGACGCACTCTGGACGTACAAGTGGGAGAAAGTGGTTTCTTCGGAGGCGACGGGTGTGTGCGCGTGCCCGTTTCACGGCGGGGCCGAGCTGCGCACCCTCTGTGTGGTCCCCTTTTCAAGACAACACGGAGCCTGCAGCCACCTCGGGCACAGTACGAGGGTCGTGGTTCTGGGGCCCTGGGCCCGCATTCCCACCTTCCTTAGACAAGCCCAGGATGGCGTCGGGCCGACAGAGGAGGGGCTGTGAGGACCCCCGGGGCCTTATGCCTCGGCTTCAGACCCCACGGGGAGGTCTGATGCCCTCAGCCCCAGGGCGCGGCTGGGGACATCACTACTAAGAGGTGCACAGTTCTCTGGGCCGCAGACCTCTCTGTTCCCACTGATGCCCAGGTCCAACTCCATCGGCTTTACATAAAGTCTTCCAGGGACCACTCAGAGCTCTTGGCCTACGGACAGGATCCTTCCTGTGTTCTCTCTGCTCTAGTGTTCAGAGTATTT